CAATCCAAGCTGACCTTTCTCAAGTTCGCTATCTTTCACCTGACTCAACAACTTATCTGAATGTAGTCGAATGCCACGAACAAGCTCAAGAACAAGTTCACTAGTTTCACACTCATACCCTAATTCTGATTGAATAGAACCAGCTAAACTTTTATCTACGACACCTAAAACCATATTACTACTCTTTTTCCCGGGTTTTGGAAGGTTCATTTCCAAAAATGCCTTGAGATGTTCGTTCACAACACCTAAAATTCATAAGAAAGGTTTAATTTAAAATATTGTATAAAAAATAAACTCCGCCTGTATAAAAATAAAAAATAAAAAAACCTTCGGATATATCATTTGCATTTTCTAAAGCGTGAACGGCATTTTTGAAGGGTGCAAAAGCTTTAAGTTTTACAATTTTCCCAAACTTTACCAAATCTTCAACGGACTCTTGAATTTGTTCAAGTTTGGCTCCTATTTCCTCACTTTGCAACCGTTCAAATAATGCATATCCAAAAGCAGTTTCAAAGAGCACGTATTTCACCTTTCAAAAAAATAATTTAATATAAATAATTTCATTTACTATTTTATTTTTTGTTTAAAAAAAAATTGTAAATAAAGAAAGGAAGGACTGTAAGTACCATGCTTTTTAACTAACGTCTAAAATCAAAAAAAAATTACGAAAAAAAATTTTTTTTTGATAAAATTCCCAGAAATCTGAATAAAAATCTGATTTGCTATTAATCGCATTTGGTCATTTTGTGTCACAATGAACTTTTTTGCATTATAATAATTTTTTTAATCGATCAAAAAAACCTCGCTTTCCCAACATCCCAAAATATTTGCTGTGCCCGCACTAACAAAAAAAAGCAGATCAGACCGAATCCTCAATCAAATAAAATAAAAACAGACTCACTAAAAAAAAATAATAATATTTTAAAGCTTTTCGTTAAAACAAAAAAAAAATTTACTTTGTAAAATAAAGAAATAAAATGACATATAATCAAATGGAATAATTAATTCACCTGCGATTCCATCTATATCATTATATCAATAATGTTTTTTGTGTATATTTTGGTATGTTGTTAAATATATAATTTTTAATTTTATTTAACGTGTTTTTAAAAGGTGGTATCTATTTAAATAAATTTCTCTTTTTTAAAATTAATTCCGAAATTTCCACCCGTCAAGGATTCATATTTTATGTAGAATTATGGGTATCAGGATTAACGGGATTAGCAGAAGAATTTACCTTCATTAATTGAAAAGTTAGAATTAAAAATCCTAAAATCGTATCATTAAGTTTTGACGAAACTAAGGTAAGTAATGCACAAGATTTTTTTTTTATTTTTAACTTTTAGTATAATTTTCACGAATGTGTTTTAAATCAATTATTTGGGTATAAGGGATTAATAAATGCTTGTAATCTGCCCGCAGAAGGGTAAGAAAAAAAATTTAACATTCAACCTCTTATTTTCTTATTTAACAAAAAGGATTTTCTTTTAAATATTTTTTTCTTTGTTTTCTTATTTAGGGTTGATATATCGGTAGATATAAAGCATGTCTATGGAAGATCAAAGTAAAGAAATTATTGATCATTTATATCAGCAGCTACAACAGGTTTTTTACATCAAGAATCTCGAATTGAAACAATTTTGAAGGTACAGTATATTTAAAAAGATTTCTTAAAGTTCTTAAAGAAATGGTCTTATTTAAAATTAATCAAAAAAACTTTTAACTTTCTACAGTTAATGAGTGAATGGGAAGCAAAATTAGAAATAACACCATTAGCTATTCAATTATGGAATTTCCTACATTACTTGATATTATTCAACGTCCCTCAGAATTTATTTTACCTTTAGAGCAATTATGTAATACGTGGAAAACAAATGAGACAGGTTTATGATATCTATTAAAACCCAAAATTCCATTGTGAGTGTAACTTCATAGAACGATATTGGGGTTTTGCAAAATGGGAAACAATACGGTTATGCAATTATAATTTTAATGACTTATTGACACAGGTTCCAGAAGTTCTTATTAGTATTCCTGTAACAACCATTCGTAAATTTGCACGCAAATCATGAAGATACATGGATGCATACAATAAAGGATTAGAAGGTAGAACTGCTGAGTGGGCTATTAATATTGAAATAAAGACATTAATTAATACATGCTTTACATACCTTTTTGCTAGCTTCACATTATTGAAATCTGTTATGCACAATGAAATAAAATAAAAACGTGTAACACTTTTTTTTAACATTTTTTGCATACCGTATAAGGATACCGCAGTGTGAAAATAAAATCTCGGATTTTCATTGGCTGATTACCAAACACGTGATTTAGGATCAGTTCTAGAAAATTTGAAACATAATCATATGATTGTTAAGTTAAGACTTCTGGTACCATATATGTTAAATAGTAACAAATCGGATTCAATTAATAATTAGTTATCAATCAGTTTAATACCTGATTGATGATTATTATTCAATTAGAATTTACTGATTGGTAACAATTTGCTAACAAGTCTCATTAACAAGATTTGTTAACAATCCGTAATGAATTTTATTAACAGTTTTCGTTAAACGAATTCTGTTTAATGATTCGTTAACAAATCCATATAATGATTCATTCAAAGGATTCATTAAAATTTCATTAAACAAAATTCATTACACAGTTTCATTTAAACAAATTATATAAAATTCATTATGAAATTCATAATAATGAATCATAATAAAATTCGTTTAACAATTTGTTAAGAATTTCATTAATGAATCAGAATGAAATTTATTATACAATTAGTTATAATGAATTTTGTTAAAAAATCATTAAACAGATTTTCATAATGATTCACTTAACAAAATTTTATTATAAATCAGTTAATGAAATTTGTTATGATTCGTTATAACAAATTTTGTTAAAGAATTGTTAAATAAAATTTCATTATGATTAGTTATAAAGAATTTAGTTAAAGAATCATTAAATGAAATTTCATTATGAATCAGTTAACAAAGTTCATTATACTTCGTTATAAAGAATTTTGTTAAAGAATTATTAAACAGATTTTTATAATGATTCACTTAATAAAACTTTGTTACGAATCAATTAATAAAATTTGTTATAATTTGTTATAATGAATTTCATTAAAAAATCATTAAACAAAATATTGTTATGATTTATTATAATGAATTTCATTAAAAAATCATTAAATAAAATTTTGTTATGAATCAGTTAACAAAATTCATTATGATTCATTATAATAAATTTTGATTCGCTTAATGAAATTTGTTAATAATTTGCTTAATAAAATTTAGTTATGAATCAGTTAATGAAATTCATTAACATTGTCATAATAAATTTCATTAAAAAATCGTTAAATGAAATTTTATTATGGTTTATTATTATGAATGTTGTAACAAATCGTTAAACAAATTTCATTATGAATCAATTAATGAATTATTAATGAATTCTAACAATTCGTTATAAAATTCATTATAATGAATCATAATACAATTTGTTAAGCGATTTATTATAATAATTCATTATTTTTATAAATTCATTAATTTGAAGGTGAATTTTATCTATCAAAGACAAATTTTACATTTAAAGGTGATTTTCATCAATTCAAAAATGAATTTTATTATTGCAGTTTTCAAATATATGTGAATCAGGTGATGGTCATGTGATGATCAATTTGTGCATAAATTCACAAATTTCTTGTATTTGACTAATAAAAAATGATCAATCAATATGTATATATGTTATAATATGAATCTTGTTGCATTATCATTACTATAATATTTATCATAATTTTGACAATAAAAACATGTAATACTTGTAAAATTTATGAAATTGATACTTGTTTTTTTGTATGAAATGTATGTACTGTACTAAAATTTTAACAGTAAATACTTATAATTGTGATAAATCAATAAAATTAGACAAAAAAAATATAATAAATGCAGTTAAGTTTTTTAGAAGTTATATTAATAGTTTAAATGATAATAATAAAGTTTATACAAAAAAAGTAAGAGATAGTATAGAAAAGTTTGGATATAAATTAGATATAAACAAAGCTTTTTATTATTTATTATGTTCTTCATGTAATGGTAAAGCTTATCATAAAATACAAAAATTAAAATCCTCTTCTACTGTATCTTCTACAGTGTTTTCTATTGTATCTTTTATACCTACATCACCTTCTACTACATTTAATAATTTACCAATTCTTGAAACAAAGAAATTATCACTTTTAAATTCATCAGACAATTTTGATTTTTTATCTGTAACTTCAACTATTTCTCTTACTATAACTTTTCCTTCACTCTCATCATTATTAAAAGAACAATTTAAATTTAAATTGCAAATGAAAAATAATAATGATTCTTCACTTATAGTAATTGAAAAAAAACCCTTTGATTTTTTTGAATTTAAAGAAAAGATTTATGAGATTTAAATGAAAAATATGGATTTATAAATTATGAGGAAATGAAAAAAATATATAAAACAGAAAATAGCAATAGAGCATGGACTTGGCTTGGTAATGAAGATGAGTTTAATGAATTTTTGAATTATTATAATAGATTAAAAAAAAAAATCAAAAATAGTGTTAGTTATTGTGAATGTTCAATCTAAATGTTAATATTTATTTTTATATTTTGTTTTTATTAAATTAAATTAAATATTCATTTTCATTTAAATTTCTTATGAATTAAATGAAATTTCTGAATCTGAATTTAAATTTTCTAATGAAAAATTTCAAAAATATGTTACACAAAAATTGTAAATGCAAAGTTCAATCGCGTTCCTTAAGAAATTAATATTTTAGAGGAAAATATAGATAAGATTAATGTAATGACAATGTTAAGAGACATTATTCATAATAATAAATATTGTAATGTTAAGAAAATCGTCATCTTAATCTAACTCCAATTCATTTAAAATTATGGACAGCAGAAATTGTAAAGTATTATTTATATTATTTATAATTTAATTATCTTTATTCTATTATTATTAATACTAATAGTTATAATTCATTTTAAGTTAAAAATGAAGCTAATTTTGACAATCTTCTAAATACTCCTTTATTTAACATGATGAATTCAATTAATGTATTAAAAGATACATAAAATGTATCTAACTATTCCTCAATGTATCCCCCTCCTCCTCTCCCTCCTTATCCTCCTCACTATTCTTCAACATTATTACCTTTACCTCTTACATATCCACTATCACATTATATGTATCTTCAAGCATAATTATTTCTAATATATTTTTAAATAATGAATTATTATCACAAACAACAAATACATCTGCTTTAAAAATAGTTTTTGAATTAAAAGAATTTTTAGAAGAATTGGATATAATTTATAGAATAGGATAATATACACAATATTTAGAAATTTTTGAAAAAATGATATTAGAATAAGTTTAATTCCAAAAAAAATTACAAATTACTTACTTTTATTAAAGTTACAATAAAATTTTATAATGTTGACTATTATTACTCATAATCATTTTTTTATAGTTTCGAAAATTATAATTATTTTTTTTTAGAAACAAAAAAAAAGTAAACTCTATTATCTAAAAATTATATAATTAAATATAATTAGATTCTGCAAAATAACTTCTTGTAATATTTGAAGTAGTTTAAGATAAAACATATAAAATTATATATTTAGAATCATTATAATTTTCAATAAAATCTCTATATCTTTTGAACTAAGCCTTAAGTGATAAAAAAGCAGTTTCAATAAGATTAAAATCTAGAGAATATGAAGGTAAATATATTATTTTTTCACCTATTTCTTCAACAGATTCTACCAATGCTTCATCATGATGAATTCTTGCATTATTTATAATTTTTACACTATTTTTACCAGGAAAAGAATTCATTTGAGGTATCTAAAATTATTAAAATAGGTTAACAATATAAATTAATTCTTTTATATATAAACTTTAAAAATAACTTACTACTTGATTCACAATAAATGTTTGAAACTTTTCTTTGTTACAACTTCCTTTAATAATTCTAGCTGCAATAAATCTATCTAATGTTAAATCTGGTAAGATAGTATACCTAATACCAGTGTTGTCATGGGACATTTTTTGGGACATAGCCTGGGACACTGGGACTTAATGTAGGACATTTTGGGACATAGTATAGGACAGTCTCAAAGTATTTGTGACATTGAAAATGTACATCACTGCCTAATACCCCTTACAAATACAACTGATTTTTTTACTCTTGTATTAATTACAGAATATTTATAAGCTCTACTTAGACTTCATTCATCTTTGGCAGTTTCATCTATAAAAATTAATTGTTTAAAGTTAAATTCACTTATTTTTAACATAAATAAACTTTTCAACAATTCACTTCTCTATTTTGCAGCTTTCTGTAACTATTATTATAAATACCATTAATTGTGTTTATTTAATTAAAAGATTCAAATTATAAATCAAAATATATTGCTTACTTTTTTTCTAATAATCCCACAAAAATTTAAAGACCTCTATAAAGTTAGTACAGATACTATTTTACCAGTTCTTTGAGCTATTTTATAAACTAATTCATCTAGAAACCAATCAACCTTTCCTTAATAAGTTCCTATAATACCTATTATTAAAAATTATGTAATAAATAATCATTTTAAAAATTTAAAAAAAAAAACTCATTTAAAAATTTAATACCTTCATATCATATGTATTAAATATTTTCTTTTTTTCTTGATTTCTACAAAATAGATCAATAACGCAACCTAATGTTTATATATATTATAAACTTTATTAATGGTTCCTATGCTAATGTATAATCTTTCTGTGTATATCATTTTACAATACAAAATACAACACACCA